GTTTTTAAATTACTCTTATAAGCATATTACTAAAATAATATATCACTAAAAGTGTTTATAATTTAAAAAAATAAATCTCGATTATATTATTTAAATGACTGGGTTTAAATCAACGGAAAAGGCAATTATAAAGGATACCCAAGCCAGAAATACCCAAATTTACGACCGTCAATCCCATATCCTGTAACCAACCATTTAATCCATCGCATAACCGCTCATCGACATAATATTCAAAAGAACTTTTTTCAACACAAGCAGGATTTGAATTGATATTTTTATCTGTACTGTGAATGTTTTATTTTTACATTTTTGTAGTCGTATTGTTTGCATTGCATAGTTCTTAAACATTTTTTATTCTTCGTCTCATTCCGGCGCCTTAGCCAGTTACACGGTCTGCATTTCAACTGCAATTTATTACAACTTTCAACCCATTAAACTTGTTGTATTACAACGTGTGAAAAAGAAACATTATCATACATATTATAAATTGTATCTTGAACGCAAGTCTATAACAGAGTGTAATGCTCTGAGATTTTAATGTTTATAAATCGCAATTTGAATTAGCGAATTCAAAATTGATTCAGATTATAATCGGATGGTAAGATAGACGCCAGTAAATTATTCCACTCCTTTGCTGTACGCGTTAAAAAAGACAAATCAATATATTTGTTTCGAATGCGTGGAATGTGAGCAACAAAGGGATGTAAACCCGTCTGCCAACCATTTGGTTGGGAGGGAGAAATTAAATTGTAATTTTTTTATTCATTTAGTTAAATAAAATTCCTTATTCTTTTCAATCATTCATTCATTTACCAACCTAACAAAAGTCCACTACTGAACATAGTTCTCCCCCATAGATTTCCTCTTATGATTGGATTTCGCAATAGCTGCCACGTTTGGTAGGTGGCTTGGACGACACCAACGGGATGATATGGGGTAGTGGATATTCTTACGCCGCCTCTACACACCTAGTACCTTTATTCTTTATTTCTACCTAATTATTGGAGGTAGGATCTTAGCACACGATAAACTGTTAGCTTCAAATTAATATCAGCGTGTCCCCATCATAACAAAAGATATATATTTTACTAGGTATAAGCAAGCGAGGTTCAACCACGTCACACACTTCAGGACGCGTCAAATTCCTACGTGGCCAGCAATTCATTTAATTTAATAGCTTGTCATTTTAATTGTCCCCACAAAGCTCTCTTTGTCGATCGTTCAGCCTTATATGTTCTTGAATCAATGAGTGTTTATGTGTGCATTGCTTTCTACGTAGTCGTGTCACGCATCAAATTGAACCGCTACGTTAGCAACCTTTTATTGTGTTGTAAATAAGATGATTCGCCGTGACCTGACTGATGTCGCCATTTAACTTTATTATTTGTAACATCGTTCTTCGTTATATGTATGTTGTAGCATGTCTGAGATATTAAGATAATATCAGGTTATTATTACTTCGAAGACATGTTAATTCCCCAACACGCGTGGTGACAGCGCGGCGAATACTTCTCAGTAGGTAATGAGTCAGAAGCCTGTACCCAGCTGTGGGACGAATAGTAATGTTATTTTAATTTTAGGGTTCTGTACATTAAAATAATATAATATGTATATACTGTCAGTTTGTTGTCTGTTCGTCTGTCGGTCTGTCCGATTGTCGAGGCTCTTTTTCTCAGAAACGATTATAAGTAACAAGTTGAAATTAAAAGCCAATGCTAATGTCTACAGTCTCCTGGAGATTTATAATTTCAACCTTCTAATTTCTTTTAAAAGATAAGAAATTTTAGTTACGTTTTTAATTATATTATTTTATTTCTGACATATTTTGACGCTCGCAAACTCACGGATCAAAACCTATAGGATTATGTACTTCCCGTTGAACTAGAAGTCATGACTCATGAAATTTAGCAAAAAGTAAGTGTTCATAGCATAAGTAAAGAAAAATTCCAAAAATCGTTAATTTGTAATATAAATTGGATTTAGTTACGCTAAAAGAGTCCACCCACGTTATTGACATATAAACTTTGTATTAATATTCATTATTCAATAATGAAGGCTCGATTCGATTTATTAATAATTTTACTCATTTTTAACGGCGACATTTTGCTAAAATTTGATTTTACTATCAAAAAGTACTGCTCCTAAACATTATTTTAGCATAAGGAACACATCATATTTGTTCACAGAATAATTTGAATAAATCAATTATCTGCTCATCTTCTTCTCAGCTCAGCTTATCATTTAGCTGCGTCCAATTGTAATTTGTATATACTCGTAAATATTTTTTTGCAATTAAATACTTATATTTGCAATTAGAACATCGATCGTGATCTAAGCCGGTGCTTGGGAGAAATTTTTTTTCAGCTGCAAAGTTAAGTATGTCAGCAATATTCGGTGCTTACTTTACCCATAAGTTTTTTTTTTTAATTTGTAGGGTTACAAACGAACACGCAGTCCATCTGATGGTAAGTGGTTGCTGTGGCCCATAGACATCTTCAATTATCCTCGTTTGCAAATCAAAATGCAGATGCATTGCCACCCGTGAGGACTAGGATGGAATGCCTCGTTTCCAGTAAAAAGGGTCTCCGGTTCTCTACACTGACCATACGAAACACAGCAGTGTTGAGCTGCTATTTGACGCTGGTATTCTGTGAGAGCGTGGTCCTTCCCCGGTCGAGCCGACCCATTCGTGCTACAAATATACTACTAATATAGCTGCAGCATGGCTCTACCACGTAAATAAATAAAAAAAATTAATTATTTATTTGATAAGTATTATTTATCATTATTTTTACTAACTTAAGTTTGTATGGAACCCTCAGGACGCGAGTCCTATTTGTACTTGTCCGATTTTTTATTTGTAACAGGTACCTACACATATTTAATTCTTTGCCTGTCACGTCTTTGTTTATCCACTTTGTCAACATAGTAATAACATACACATACATAACATAACGTCAAATTAATTGAACTTAATTTTGGGCGGTTAAAAGCCGCAAAGAAAGGTGTTTCTGCCTAGGACGGCGGCACTTCACGCCGTGATACCTTCTTACCCTAAATAGAGCTCAATTCCGTTCTTGTATGAAATACTGCTGTCGTATATGGGCTGATGCTACAAAATGCCACCTAGCAATGTGGAGAGACATGCTAAAAGAGTCATTGGTGACCCTGATTAAGTACAAACCAATCTTGCTAGCCTAAAGGCTTACTCTATGTGTTCTTTGTGTGTATATCCTACATTACTGAAGAGAAACAGGAATTACATGATTTATTTTTTCCCACCTATTTCCACCTACGGACAACCAAACGGTCGACCTTTGTTGTCGATATTCCACTCATTCGAACCAAATGGTTTGCTTCGTCTTTTGTATTGCGTACAGCATACTATTGGAATAATTTCCCGGCATCGGTCTTTCTAGCAAGAATAGGATTTTCCTACACTAAGACAGTACTTTAACTATATATTATTTAACAAGCTAAATAAATATTTGTTGATGACTGATAACATTATATAATACTGATTTGAGCAATGTTTCTTATGCGAAAAATTTACATTCTACAGCTGGGCTCTTCTTGTCTCTGAGAGTAGAGCGTAGGTAATGTCCGCGGTGGACTTCGCATATTATCGTTGAAATATATTTATTCTCTAAACAACCGCCGATCACCGCCGAGCACGTGTTAAATTAATATTTAAAATAGCAACTATAAATTGAAACAACGGAAATCGAACCCATGTTGCACGCGTACGGTAAATTTACAGCGAGCGCTTAGCCCCTGACATTCCACAGCCCTTAAAAACATACCTATCCGCGAATAAGACACATTAGAAAAATACGTAGATGACATTTTTTCATTTCAAGTTTTAAAGTTAATACTATAATAATATAATGTAAAGTAACTAATCGTAATTTGAATGTATTGTTGCTGCTGTTATGGATTGATAAAGAAAGAAAGAAGGAAGACGTATGCTTAAGTGCGTTAAGAAGTTGAGCATGGTTTTGGCATAATTTGAAATATATGCAGGGCTCCGTCTATCTTTCTTTGTTGGGCTGAGGGGCAAACGAAGAAAGAAAAAAACGAAGAAACGAAGAAAAAATAATAGTATTGTAATCTAAATGGTGTCAAAAACGTAGTGAATATACTTTTTGTAAGAGCAGCGTAAAAGAATCCAACACCACATTTTGTCCCATGGTTGTTGAAAGAGCCGAATATAGAAAATGCCAGAAATATCTCATGGCTTTTGACAGGTCTTTTTTTTATAGGAGAGGGGGCAAACGAGCATGCGGCTCACCTGATGGTAAGTGACTACCGCCGCCCATGAACAACTGCAACACCAGGGGAATCGCAGATGCGTTGCCGGCCTTTTAAAAAGGAGTAAGCTCTTTTCTTGAAGGTCCCTAAGTCGTATCAAAAGGGTCGCATCTCAGCAGTCGTGAAATAGGTACAAAAAACAGCATCAAAATTATGAGGCATCTGGTATTCAGAGCGCCAATCCAACTCCTGCCAAAGATGGTAATTCTGAGGGGATTTTTTCCTATATAGAGGAGATCATGTCCAGCAGTGAACTATTGGAGTTAGATATACAGCAAATCTCGTCTTCAGTCTACCTTTTGGACTTACATTACAGTGATATATTACTTATCATTTTAAACAGTTTTGTACAAGATATACAGTTGAACTTTCAATAGAGTGTGACACGAATAAAAGGCCGGAGCTGCAAATTCTATCCGGACCCAATATTAATATAAAAATACAATTGTATTATGATTGCTCCGTTTCCCTCGACGTTTTATCAAGCCTATCTTCGATCTTATTGTACAAAGTTAATACAAGATAATGATTTAGAGGGCCCATTCAGATGTTGATATCACAACAACGATAGCCGTCTTTCAACCCATGACCGTGCCACTTCAATGGATACGGGCAAGCGACTAGCGGCGATAAGTTGTCGACCGGGAAACTTCCTGGATGTCTCGGATAATGTCTGCGTGTTGTTTCAGCTATCGATGCGGCTTAACTAATGAAGATTTAAATCGTCGTTGGTGCAAGCCGAGTCCTGTTTTACATCCTTCAATCTACCACACGAAGGTAAATATGTATATTGTTTAGTTGTTCTGTGTACATGTAATTATTCGTTCAAGCTCGTGGTATTAATAAAAGCAAATACTTAGTAGATACAAAATATTTTGTTATAAACATACATGTACATAATTTTTGTAGTAGATATAAAAAGTAACAATATATACACAAGCCTCCAAAAATATCTGAGAGTGTTTTAGGAGAATCTCGCTGAAATCGCTGCTCCAATTGGCATTGACAAACTTTACATTTCCTTGAAATGTTTCAAATTTAAAAAATTAAAGTTTTTTTTTTTAATTTGAAACATACCGGTTTCCTCACAATGATTTTTGTTTACCGCCGAGCACGTGGTAAATCAGCGCTTAAAATTACACCCAACAATTTCATAGGTGCATGGATAAAATGTAGTTTCCTCGCGTACTTACTTGGAAATTTAAGGCGAATGCTTTTTCTTTGAGCTAAAACGTATATCGGTAACAAATATATCTAACCTGTTCAAGGTATTGAACTGGTATTTAATTTAATTTAATTAATTTTTATTTCAATAATCTGTACAATTAATTCAATAAATTTAAAATAGTTTACAATAACTGGTACCTGAACAAATACAGCTAGATATAGGGTTAATCCTAACTTGTATCTTAGTTGTATTTCCTGATATATACACTAACAAATATTTTCTGCTTCTTATATAAAATGAGTGACATACCTACTAATTAAGGTTAATTTCAGTAAAATATATTATCAAGCTTTTCCGTATCACCGTATGACAAACTTTGTAAACATGTTGGAATTACATTTTTACAATCTGCCATTTTTAATGGATACATTCACAAATTTGCATTGACTTGATTATACAGAAAAGGGCCAAGGTAAAAAATCTATGCATGAATGCATATTTGCATCTTTTATCACTGACATATCTTCTGTAGGGCGATTTTAAGTACTGTTTTTGGTAACGTACTCATAACGAATAACTGGCGCACTGAGGCGACATTACAGGATAAGAGATAGGACGGGAATAAGGTGGGGCGGAATCTTGCGAATTTTAGTACAGGTCTTTGAGCGCTTTCCGGTGGTAGTAGTGTAGTGTTAGCTGTAGTTTAGGTTACACAAAGGAACGAATACTTTTAAAAACAAATATTCGTTTACGAACTCCACTGCACACGTGGTCCATGTAGTTTTTAAATTTAAAAGTAGAATCTATAATTATTCCAAGATATTTAATAGTCTTTGTATTTAAAATAAATGGGCAATTACATTTAGACTCTGCAAATAATGTGCATAACTTTCTGGAATTATCATAGCTGGGTTCAGCTGCGCATAGAAAAATGAATATATTTGGTTTTGTCGGAGGTCGGGGAAAAGTTTCTTTGTATTTTATATATAAATTCAAGACATTTTTTTTTCAAAGTTTAAATACATTTAATTATAATATATATGTGCCATTTTGTTCGATAACTTGTTGTCATCTTGTGGGTAGTGACATAATTCCGTTGCTATAGAAATCTTAGGATTTTTGATTAAAAAAAATGCGACAAGTAGTTGTGACAGTCCTTTCTTAATGTTAACCTAACACTACCCAAAATATTCTGGAGAGACCGAAACAGGTGAAAATCTGATGGTACAAGGTCAGGACTATATGGTGGATGCAATAACACTTCCCAACCTAGCTCGATGGTTTTGCCCAACGGTAAAAGCTCATAATAAACGATGCCCTTCCAATCCCACCATACACACAGCATCAACTTACTGCGTGTTTCGCTGCAGTCTGTGGAGCTTGACTACAAAGGGTAGTCCATGATCTTTTTCGCACGTTCTTGTCGTAGGTGATCTACTTTTCATCACCAGTAATCAAACATCAAAATTCCCGGACTGAAAACGCTTGAACCAATTTTGTGCTACTCTTACTGACACTGTATTAGGTCCATAAACGTCACAATTTTTGCGGCTTGAGTCGCATTTTTCCCTTTCTTGTAATCAAGCTTCAGAATGTATCGAATTTCTTCGTTAGATTCACTCATTTTGGCGGACAGAAAAGCAATTGAAATATGGCGGGAAAGTGTTTTTTCTTTTTATTTTTATTTTTCTTAATGTCCTATATATATGTATTGATATTAAAACCAGCCAGATACAGACAGTACAACTAAAAGCATTTTTCTTCAATTTTATTCAAACAAAATACGAAGAAACTTTTTCCCCGACCTATCATTTTGTTGGAGCCATTTATTAACCCCATTAAAACCTTGTTGTGCACATAAATAAATCTTGTCTCCTGTATTTTCGGAAAAAAGGAGCACGGTATCATTTGCGTACCTACAAGATATTTTACCTAAATTAAGTTCGAGATTGCAAAGGCCATTGATATACATATATCAAAAATAGAGATGGTCCTAATATACTGCCTTGGGACACCCCAAAATGAGCATATTTTTTTTGTTTAGAACTAAACCTTATCGGTTTTCTAATAGTCGTAACAAATTTTACCGCGAATACATCTATCTTATTTAACGGGAAGGACTTTTATTTATTTAAGCATAAATCTAAATAGCAGAAATGATTTTATACAAACAAGGGTGACAAACGAGTGCATAGTCCACCTGATGTTAAATTGTTACTGCCGGGCTTAGACACCTATATGTCATCCCTAAAGAATTGGTGACATGCCCTATTTAAATAATATAATTATCTATTTAAAAAAATATTGAATAGAGTAAAAAGTCTATTCGATATTTTTCTAATTTAGACTTTGAGAACCCAACATCTTGGCTACAACATTATGAGGGTCACAGTTAGAAAACTAAAATAAATGCTTACTAGGATATTTAATATATAATAATTAATAAATAATAACTAATATTTATTTATTAGTTTTTACATTTATTGCGGCTATAGACTTATTTAGCTGTAGTCCACACCTGTAATTACAATAATAATAAAAAAAAATTACAAGTTTATTTTTCTTGATATTCTATTTTTCGTTACCAGGGCCTCATAGAATATCTAGTACGAGTTTGGAAGAAACCGCCGTTAGTATTTTGTGATTATCACGGTCACTCGCGCAAGAAGAATGTGTTCTTCTATGGATGCGCGAGCGCGGAGAGTTGGTGCAGCAGCGACCGGCTCGCGCCCGACGAACCCGTTAAATACCTAGTGAGTTGCACGACCAAAAGCGAAGACTTGACCATCCACACTTATTAATTAACTGTGTTCTGCTCTCCTCTCCGCATAGTCCTATTTGTATGCAGTCGGCCATGCCTTACCGCGATATCGTAAATCTACGAGTACGTACACATCAGTACTGGCTGGCTATTTGTGTTTTTGCATTGCTTATATATACAATTACATACTATTATATGTACACACGGTATAAACCCAAAGCGGTTACTATAAGTAAATCGTTGATGTAACATTAATTTAGTGTTATTATCAACGCTGTGGTGAAATGTATTTAGTTCATTTATACGGCAATGCACCAGGGAAATCAAGTTTTGCATGGTGCTATTCCCCAACGTATTGCTCAAGTAATGGAAAATATTTTCGTATCTAAACGACCCGATCGACTCATAGCAAGCATTTGAGATATTATCTGTGCTTAGTGCATATTTTTCTAATTTATGCAAATAATAATCAGACGCGTTTTTAAGGACTGAGATTCTGGTATAATATTATGATTGATTTTTAGAGTTCTACTATCTACGTTAAAGGACCCTTATAATGTCGGTCTGTCTGTCTGCCCTTTCTTAAGTATCACATTATTAAAGCTTCTAGTTTTTTATTTTAAAGCAGCCCCTAATATGGATACAATCCTCTCAGAGATTTATATGAATCTGATTTATATCATTTATAAAAGTATAATTCAACATTTTTTTTTCTATTTTTTTATGTTTTTTTTTTAAACGTTACCTCCACACTAGGATTTTCTCCTGTATCGTGGGGGCAGTTTACATACATAAATTTCACAAGGATAAATATCCAGACCCGGAACATTTATTTGTAGGCCATACAAATACTCGTTCCGTGCGGGATTCGAAACCGCGGCCCTTAGCTCTGCAACTCATTGTTGAGCCACTACGCCACGGAGCCGTTTAAAACGGTATCATTTAATATATCACATACACACACATATATTTATACAATTTATGTTATGTGCATAACAGATGTTGCCAGCTTTAATGCACCGCATATCGGACGCGTTCGCGCTCGGATCGTGCTCTTTCCGCGTGGAACGTGAGCGTGAAAGCACGGCGCGAGTCACCGTGTGGCGCCACCTCGCCGTTGCGCGCTCCTACACCATGGAGGCCTCCTTCTGTGGCTTTGACCAGGGACCATACAAGGTGCGCCAACTTCATCAGAAAACAATTACGTGTCTATATAATGTCTACAGTGATTAAGAAAACTGTTATAACAAATAATATTTAAGGGAAGAAGAAACTATGACCTATGTGAAACTGATTTTCCATATACCTAAAATTGGTCATGTAGTTGCGACGTTCTTTTTTATAGGATAGGATGATAAACGAGCACACAGTCCACCTGATGGTAAGTGGTTGCTGTCGCCCATAGACATCTACATCTATCCTCGTTTGCGAATCAAAATGCAGACGCGTTGTCACCCGTGAGGACTAAGATGGAATCCTCTTTTCCAGTAAAATGGGTATCCGGTTCTCTACACTCACCATACGAAACACAGCAGTGTTAAGCTGCTATTTAACGCTGTTATTATTTGAGAGCGTGGTCCCACCCCGATCGAGCCGACCCATTCGTGCTACAACTACAATATAGCTACAGCGTGGCTCTATCACGTAATAAAGCGATTTCAAACAAAATACGAAGAAGATAAGACATCTACTACCTCATATCATCCCGTGAGCTTCGTAAGAGGCGAAAGAGAGAAACTAAAACATGAGATGGGCAGCAACATCTTCGTAACAACTCAAAATGATTAAAAAAACTGCGGGTGCGGCCGTGCGGTTGTTAATCCGTCTAATAAGTGTGGATACCAATACCAAACAAATTACATGGCAAATATCCTCCCTATGAGGCAATCTATGGGAGAGGCCTATGGTTCAGCAGTAAACTTTTATATGCTATATAATGATAATGGTGTAGAAACGACTTTAGTTTAAAAAAATTCCAAAAAAATATTAAGTATTGTTAACATTTTTTAGAATAATCGTAGTCAAATCATCTTAAATGATTTTATTTCTGTGATTTGAATTGAGTTATAAATAAAAACAAATAACTGGCTGAATATAAAAACGAACTTACCATTATTACTAAAGATAAATCAGGACAGTAGGCACGGTGATTTTCTCCAAATAAGGATATAGGTATTTCTTGAGAAGATAAACTTATTTCTATGATATCTTTTACGTTAATACAACAATCATCTGTTGACAGCTAACGCTCTACCACCACCGTATATAATAGTAAATACGTACACTACTCGACATTGATAAATGTGCGAGCTGGAACAGTTAGATACCAAGTGACAACTCGTTAGATAGAGATTATATAAAATATTAAATGGTTTATGAAATATTAGTTATGAGTTATTTTTTTATTTATACAGTATTAGTTGTCATTTCTTCCTGCAATCAAATCGTAGTAATATTTCACTTTTCACCATGTAAAGCAAATGTCTCTTCTCAGTACCATAGTGTATGATTACTGAATAAAATTATTTTAGTTTTACTATATTTATGTTCAAGGTTTATTAAATATGTAAAATATCACATACTTCTTATGTGAATTTATTTTTAATGAATATATAATTAAATTATTACACAAAAACCAACAAAACGCAAGCAATCAGACATATTGAAAATATTGAATTTTATTTCCTTACGTGTCTTGAATATACTGTTTTACACATTTTACAACTAAACTTGAACATTTGCCTTGTCAAAATGTACGGCTATCTATACTACATAAGAAAAAGATAACTCCTATACTTTACTGATATCCTGTGACCCTTGTGTCAGCGTCTGTAATATAAAATATGAGATTCTTGACGATTGCGCATCTCGCTTGATATATCTCACGCCCTAAGTGGACTGAGAGACATCCTATTCAGCACAGGCTAGTGTAGTGCAGTAGTTTCAAGTTTGAACAATGCAAGAATGCAGTTCAAACTGTCCAGATTAAAGCTACAATATGAAGAAATTCCTACAATTTCAACACGTTACTGGGAGTACTAGGCCCGTATTAATAACGTTATTCAACGATGTACTCAAATGCGTAATCATTAGATACATAAACACATAAAAACAGTTTCTCAAAACGCTGTACTTAGGAATACTGTTCTGTGACTTGCACTCAAGTACACACACTTGAGAGTCCGGTTTCGTTTATTAATCAGTGTGGCACTCAGTATCGTAAACCTAAACCGCATCTTGAGATATGTTTAGTAATAAGATCATAACCTCAAGATTGTACTCAAGTGCGTGTACTTGAGCTGAGTAACGTTTATTAATACGGGCTCTTTTTTTTAAATTGCATGAATATATTCCTCATCTACACATATAATTAAAATTGACGTGTCTGTCTGTAATAATAAAATAACTGACTTCTATTAAGCTCAGGGCGTTATTTGCATGCTATTTTTGTGTCTAACTATCTGTCTGTCCAGGCAAAATTATGTTTTTAGCAATGTCGTGAAGAATCTAGGCTATATTTTATCTGGAAATCTTGGAGATTTAAAAAATAACTACAAATTTATAAAATAATAATAAAAATGATTGCCTTATATCTAAATAACTACATTAATAGATTAATATTAAAAAAACTAAAGGCAGCCGGGCTAACTATGACATCGAGACGTCAAACACATCTCAGTCCCCCCCCCCCCCCCTCCGTGACCAAGGGTCGCTGTAAAGCACTCGAAACGTCGGGAATAAAAATAGTAAAATAAACGCGATAAAATCCGTAAAAAAACAGTTTTATTCAATGTGTAGTGTTCGCGTAAATATAAGAAATCATTATACATTAATAGATGTTTAAAAAACCTATAAATTATGTGGGATAAGTATATTACTAACCTTAATAATTTAGCAAATAATTAATGATACCTTGTTTTAAAAGTAAAAGAAACAAGACCTAGAGGTTATTATATCTGAGAAACAATTTGTTGAAGATTTTATGCTTATAACGTATTTTAATATCCTTAGTGATTACGCAGCGACTCGTTTTTCTCCCGTCTAATGGCCAATAAAACATGAGTAAAGTGGTTTTAAAATTTTTACATTTTCTTTCAGCGTAGTTACCTGTTTTGACGTTAGTCTTAAATATATGGTAGAAGTATATAGCACGGGATAGTAAAATTGCTGGTTCGTCAATGTTCCTTAATCGACATTTGTTATTAGTAGATATTTGTCTACTAAATTCTCCAAGATTCGATTCCCAATCGGTGCAAAATTTTTGTGTTCCGCGTTAAAATTCAGCAAAGCACACAGTATCCTGCCTGGTACCTTAGTGCCTGCTGCCGTGCTAAGATCTGAAGGATAAGAGAGTATAATTACAGTAGGTATATAAGGCAATTCATATTGGTTTCGATGATGGTAGTGCATCTATACCCAAGAGCTATGCACTGTGGGGTAATCTTCTACCCACTATTGATATTTGATATTTTCATAAGTATAATCATTGGTGTATCTGTTAATGTTAGTGACCGTGTAACTTTTAACTGATTGAACCGATTGAGGTGTCATTTAGACAATATTTTTGTTTTACGAGATAATGGTTCATTGAGGCTATGCTTGGATCCAAAAGGTGGCGCCGTAGTCAAATTATTAACAAATTCTATATTTATGAACTAAAATGACTCTTATTCACAACCTACAATATATTAGGTATGTTAGGTTAGTGCTCTAAAAAGTTGAGTACCTATTAATAAGTAAATTTTTAATCAATAACGAAATAAAAACGCATCAGCTCGTCTCACCACCTACCTGCACGGCTAGCATAGGCTGGGGACAAAAAAATTATCCCCCGATTATATCCATTGAAAAGAGATAAAATTATCTTGTCCTTATGCCAAACCACGGCAACGAGAAGAAGTATATCACCGTTTGAAATAACGAGTAGACATATATCCCTCGTCCGTAGCATGGAGCCAAAGAAAAGATAAAAAATTATGCTTTTTTGAAATTTGAAAGAGACAATTTTATCCTAGATCGTTGGACGTGTGTTTAGGTTTATATTCATACAAAAAATCTATCTCAGCACGGCTAGCATGGGCTGGGGACAAATTTTTTATCCCCCGATTATATCCACTGACAAGAGATAAAATTATCTTGTCCTTATGCCAAAGCACGGCAAGTGGGAGAAGTATATCCCCATTTGACATAACCAGTACACATATATCTCCCGTACGTAGCATGGAGCCAAATGAAAGATAAAAAATTATGCTTTTTTGACATTTGAAAGAGACAATTCTATCCCAAGTTTAAGTTTATATTCATACAAAAAATCTATAATTCAAATTTTATTTATTTGTGAATACAGGTAATGAGACAGAATAGATCTTTAAAAAAAAGTGATGTTCGCTGCATTCAACCCGTAGGTGTACAAATATTATAGCTACAATTATATCTAATACATTATATATAATAATTCTAAGTCTATCTCCCATTTTATCTACTGAGGATATTATATCCACCAGTGTGCCCATGCTCGAAGGGTGGATAAGACTAAGCGAGGGGATAAACATTTTGTCCTTTCCCCGGGGGTAAAATTGTCTCCTACCCATGCTAGCCCTGCTGTTATAGTAAGTATCTCCCATTTTATCTACTGTGGATATTATATCCACCGGTGTGCCATGCTCGAAGTGTGGATAAAACTATGCGAGGGGATAAACATTTTGTACTTTCCCCATGGATAAAATTGTCTCCTGCCCATGCTAACCCTGCAGAAAGGACAACATAATGTGTGCTGGGTCAGCTGATGCATTTATAAAGTTTTCATGATATGAGAGTATATTTTGCTCTCTTGTTAATTGCTAGAAGTGTTTTGTGATAAAATTGATGTGAGTAAAGAAAGAGATTAAACAAAAACAAAAGTACAAATATATTTTGCAAAAAAATAAACAAAAACCCAAAAAGATAAAAATCAAATAACAAACGTTTACACTAGACTAATAGACATTGCAAATAATGAACCAAAGTAATGATTACTCTAGTGACTAGAGTATTATTCTTTTGGTTCGTAATTTATTTTTATATAATTTACAGAAAATCTGATGGTAGAGTTTCAAGTAATGGATTTTTGTAGGCTGGAATCCTCATCAATATCATCATCATTACAACCCATCCCAAGTCCACCGCTGAACATAGGCCTCCCCCAAGAAGTGTCACCTGCATCCACCAACTCCTGCATGTTTTACTAGTTCATCACTCCATCTCGAGGCGGCCATACACTTCACTTACTGATACGAGGCTGCCACTCGAAAAACTTTCTTTCTCTCTGTCTAAGACTGTCTTACGTATGTGTACTACAAGAACTCTTCTGTACTCTTCGGTCTTCTGTACAATTTGCAGAAGCGTTGATTGTGGTCTATGGTACTAAATATTTTTCGGGAATCGACTATTTGGAGAGGCTGGACGTCGACAAGTCTGCGATCGCAACGATTAATTATAGTTTAAAATGATAAAAATAAACCTCCAAAGTCCCCAATTTTACCTAACAACGTTTTCCTTAAAATATAAACAAATCAAATTAAGTTACCTGTATTACATTAAAAAAAAATGCAAAAGACTCTTCATACTCGATATTTCAAAATCAATTTTTAATTATTAATCGCAGACACGTGATGTTTCAATTAATATTCAGTTACAAATGATTGCGTGCCTCAAGATTAATGATATCGATAGTAAATAGTTACCGTAGAGCAATACATCTACCGACGTCCGGCCGTGTACCTTTTAGATCGCACAGATAAGTTTAACAATAAATCAGTCCGATCTGCTTTATGTGTGAAGACGTTTCCATAATGCATATTTCTTTAACACGCTGCCTCCACAATGTAGTCGCTGTACAAGGGAGTTATTATGGTTGTACAAGGGTTCTGAAAATATTTTAATTCAAACGCAAAGACGTTATGCCTTTGTTTACCGTTGCTGTTGCAAGCCCACTGCTGAACATAGGCTTCCCCATAGATTTGCCTCTTGCCAAGGGGGAATATTTTTCACGCTTGGCAAGCGGGTTGCAACCGCAGTTTATTTTTATTTTTAATCGTAATTAGAAAGACGTTGCTGGCCCATCTACCGATTTGTTTCCCTCTGTCGTCTCTTACGACACCCTTGTTGCTATTTTTTAATTAAAATCAATTACTTTATTAAATTTTAATACACATACAATAATTATATTGCAAACCCATTAAAAATATTAATGTGGCTTAACTTTAACCTTTATCATTTTATCGTATCGCATACTGTACGGTTCTGTAATAATAGTTGTAAAGTCGAAAACAACCTATCGTAGTTTACTTACCATATTTTAACATCACTCAATATAATTAACATAGATTTAAACATTTGTATAATATGTTCTGAGGTTTTAAAACCATTCGTAATTATATTAATTCATTATATACGCAGTATTAATGACAATTCCATTGAAATAAATAAAAAAAAAATTGATATTTATCAACAACGAAACTAGAAACACGCCGACTCTGTGTGCTTATATTTTTTTCTGAAACTGAGAGAAATCGTTATGGTGTTCACGTTTACTACAGATCCATACAGGGAGACTGTGAGAAACCTTTGAAGACTTTATCGACTTTTTCTCGTTTACGTAGAATAGAACTCCAGTTGTGATTACGCAGTAGTTATGTTGGTAACAAAGTGAAAATATGTTTTTAAAATTAGAATTCTTCAAGATGGGATTGTAAGTTGAACTGTCTAAACTACTGAAATTCTTAAGTCAAAATATATGACCTGACATTACCCAAGGCGACCACTTAGTGACGGTACGCTTTGAAGCGAGTTTTTAACAATATTGCAGGCAAAATTCCCTGGTAATGAAGGCTTAATAAGCGTCGCGTGTCCGTGGGCATACCAACCTTTTTATCATAGGACGGTCCAAATGAAGGCTTTGAGCATGAGCGAGCACTTGATGTCACATGAATATCTACAACTCTCGTGCTGTATAACTTGTTAGCCTCTTGTTGTGTGAATAATGTCGAAACAATTTATAGAAATACAAAACAGAGAGAACCCTTAATCAAACAATGGTTACTGGTTACTGTGTTCTTTTCAAACAGAAATTCTTCTTCAACTTATAAATAGTCCGGTAGAATAATATTCGATTCGCAGACAAAAGTAATACAAATAGTAAGGCAATAACCTATATGTGGGTCACGAGACAGGGAAGGGGTGAAAACGTCACGCTTGAAAGTCGAATTGACGATGCTAGTACCAACTCGCATCTTGAATAAAATTACAGCCTATATACGTCTCACTGCTGGGCACAGGCCTCCCCTCATTTAGGCAGAAGGAGCTCTACTGACTAGTCCTGTGTAGCGTCAACAATTGAATTCGTGTAGAGAAAATTAGTCTTAGCATCGTTTTGGGGGAGGTCCATATTCAGTAGTGGACTGCAGGCTGACGATGGAAAGGAATCCTACCACCGGTAAAATATAGTATAAAATTTAAATTTATAGATACAGCCTATATACGTCCCACAGCTGGGCACAGGCTCCCCTCATTTCTGAAATGGTTTTAGGGAAAGGAAATGTCCGCCACGCTACCCCAATGCGTGTTGGCGAACTTCATATGTCCTCGATTTTTTTCTTATTTCTCTGACATGCAGGTTTCCTCACGATGTTTTCCTTCACCGCCGAGCACGATTAACAATTTCATTGGTGCCGGCGAGTATCGAACCCGGGTTGCTCGCGTACTGTGAAATTTAAAGCGGGCGCTAACCACTGAGCTACCACGGCTCTTCTCATCTTGATTGTTGCCCGCCATTGCTGGTGTAGTTATTTTACATCTAGTATATTTACATCTTCTTCATCGGTCCGCAAAAACACTCTTATGGACACTAGCTTCTTCCACTGTAAATAAGATTTGTCTTAATCATCACGCTTGGCAAACGGATTAACGATCACTGCACTGAAGCTCTACTTCACCAATGCTGCACAATGCTGCCCGACGCCGGTCTAGCAAGGCATTTCCCATAGTTGCATCTTACGATACCCACAGAACGAATTTGGATGATCGATTCTCTTACACCACTACCACCACACGGCTATATAACATCTGGTATATACGAGACGGTTATATCATGAAATCAGCGTGGCATTTTCTTGCCCCTCACCCCCCCCCCCCCCCCACTATCCCTTTTGTTGGCCTCTTCTCGGTAGAGGATAATACCTGCCGCTGTTCGTTATCAGTCAAAACACGCTGAAGCACTTTGT